TGGCCCTTCTCGAAAGGAAATTCCCATTTCCAATCGTGCTTGATAAGGATCCTGGCTTGTTGGGGCAGCCTTCTCTCACACAGCTCCTCTGCCACCCCCTCCTCCTCTCCAGAGATCTGCATGGGAGGCAGAGATCTGGATGACAAGGTGCAGCCTCCATATTGGCCATTTCTACCTCTCCAAACCCTCCTCAATTAAACATGTATTATATGTAAATTAAAACACAGCCAAAAAGAAAACATAGTTAAATCACTAATTATAGCTCTTCAGATATTTTCTGGAAAAAGCACCTTTATTGATGTTAGGAAGGAAAAGCAAACCTTATTAAGGAACTCTTAACAGGAAGGGAATTGAAGACCCCAAAAGGTCTTGTTCTTTCTAATCTGCCTTCCCTTTAGTTCTCATTATTTTATTATTATATATTTAAGAAGAAGATCGAAGACCTCCATAGCTCAGGATACTCACCTTAAAATCAGAACCCAGAAAAATTTAGTTAATCCACAATACCACCCTATGAAGAATGAAGATAATCTTTGGGCCCTGAGAGCAAGCAGGTGTCCAGTCAGAATATTAGTGGCACACCTGTCAGCAACTGGAAGTGCATAAGTCCATGTACTTCCCTTCCCTGTCTCACAACTCAATCCATACATCCTTTAATTTTCAGACACTTTTTTTTCTTATAACCTCCTTAAAAAACCCACAAGGTACCGTGTAATTAGCAGGAAAAATAAATCTAGCACTCCCAAATTCTTTCCCCAAGGGGGAAAGGAAAGTTCATAGCCTGCAGGTTGCTAGCAAAGTTGTCAAACAATGTAGTTATTGCTGCTAAAGGCAAGAATAAATAACAAATCAATTTTGCAGCTCTCTCCTGTTACTACATCCTCTTACCTCCAGAATGTGGCCTGGGATTGCACAAGGGGCTAGGCTAATATCCAGTTGAGTAGTTTGTAGCCAGGTGTTCAGTACAGACCTTGCCAATGTGATTTTAATAGCCCAGGAAGGGATAGGAAAACCCAAGGAAAACTTTGCAATCAATAAACCATGGTAGACTATGCTTGTTTTGCTCTATTTTGATTCTCCTCCCTAGCAGCAGCCCATGGATTTTAGAACTGCATGGCCACAAAGATAGAGGCCTTCAGCCTCCCAATCCCTGCTTAGAGAAGGATTTGCATTTTGGCCAGAGTCAGACCATACACCCCCAATCAAAGAAAAACCCAAAGGCCAGAAGGCAGCCCACCACTGTGCCCCTCCGGTTCCTTCTCCTCGCCCCCTGGGCACAGATGCAGTTGCAGCTCCTCACCATAGCTGGGGCGGGACTTGCAAGTACTTCCATCCTGAAAAGCCCCCACCACTCCTGCCTGCCACCATGCCACAGCCCTGACTAAAGGCTGTGTGCTGAAGCCTCATCCAACCAAGGAAGGGGGTAGCAGCAGATCTGCAACTTGTCAGGAGCACTCAGAGGCTGCAATTTTGGGGTTGGAAAGTGGAGCAGCAGCGCTTGCAGGCTGCTGGAAAGTCTCCTGTTTTCCCCCCCTGCAGCTTCCTCCTTCAGAGCTATCCTGATGCTGATGCCCAGCACCATGCCAGCAGCCCCGACTAAAGGCTTTGTGCTGAAACCTCGCCCAGCCAAGGAAGGGGGCAGCAGCTGAGACTATAGCAGATCTGCAGCTTGTCAGGGGCACTCAGAGGCTGCTCAAATTTACTCTGCAATTTCGGGGTTAGAAAGTGGAGGGGCAGCGCCATGTTTGCAGGCCTGGTGGCAACTGCTGAGAAGCCTCCTCCCCCCCCCCCGCAGATACCTCCTTGGGAGCCGTCCTGATCCTGATGGGTCCGCTGGCATAGCGGCGGGCAAGAGTACCAGGTGAGCTGCGCTTTGCAGGATGAAGCTGGTGGATCTATGCCAGCAGGCCTGTCGGTATCAGGATAGCTCAGAAAGAGGTAGCTGCGTGGGTGGGGGGAAGGAAGCAGGAGGCTTTCCAGCAGATCTGCAGAAAGAACATATCAAGAAAAAATAAATACTTTCCAGGAGCAAATGTATGCTATGCTGCAACTAATACAAATGATAATGAATTCAAACCACGAGGAAATTAAAAACAACTTTGAAAATATACATGAACACATCTTCAATTTAACCTCACAACAAAAGAGAGTGATCAAATAAACCAGACAAATGAACATAACCCAGAGGAAAGAGATTTAAAGATGGAACCCAACAATGGAAGGAATTATGACTTAACCCCGTTGGAGAAAAAACTTGCAGGAAATATCAGACATGGAAAAGATAATCTACACTTCAAGATTGCAAAATAAGTCTGAGGACAAGAAAAAAGATTCAACAAAAGCAACCTAGAACTAAGGAGAAACTTCCTGACAGTTAGAACAATTAATCAGTGGAAAAACCTGCCTCCAGAAGCGGTGAATGCTCCAACACTGGAAGTTTTTAAGAAGAGACTGGACAGCCATATGTCCGAAATGGTATAGGGTTTCTTGCCTGAGCAGGGGGTTGGACTAGATGACCTCCAAGGTACCTTCCAACTTTATTATTATTATTATTATTATTATTATTATTATTATTATTATTATTATTATTATTATTATTATTATTATTATTATTATTATTATTATTATTATTATTATTATTATTATTATTATATTGATTACAGAGCTGTCAGGAGAACTACGAGAACTTGAGAGACAAAAAAATGATAAGAGAAATTAAAAGAGAAAGAAAGAAAAAGATTTTCAATGAATACAAAGGGGTGAAACATTCCTACAAAAACATCTTACTTGACTTGTCTCTTGTACTTACAGCAACATCTACAAGACTATGGGAAGACCTTCTGGTCCAGCGGAACATATTGATTAGGAAAGAAATTTGGCAAAAATAAAAGGCTAAAGTTAGAATTAAGAAATTAGATGATGGGATTTATCAGATGTAATATCTAAAGATTAATCACTTGTTTGAATATGGTTAAAAAAATAGAAAATTTTTGGATATAAATGAATTTTAGTTTAAGAGGGATGGGCCCCTCAAGTAACATACTATTTTTTTATGATATGAGAAATATAAAAAAGTTGGGATGGTTTATATGAGGGAAATGTTTTAGATACTTAAGTGTAATTGATTTTGAGAATATTTCAATTGATAAGAATGTTTTGAATTGATTTAAAATATTAGATGATTGGATTTCTTAGATAGAATACTTAAAGATTAAACATTTGTTTGAATATGGTTAAAAAGAATAGAAAATTCTGGATATAAATATATTTTAGCTTAAGAGGGACATTTTCTCAAGTAGTATACTATTTCCTTTTTTTCCTTCTCTTTTTTTGTTTTTGTTTTAAGATATGAGAAATGTAAAACTGTTGGGATGGCTTGTATCAGGAAATCTCTGAGGAAATCTTAACTAGTAAGAATGTTTTGAATATTGCAGGGAAAATAAATCTAAATAAGAACTCTGAAAACAGGATTTATGACAAGGTAATTAAGAAAACTACTATAAAAAATAAGGACTGCAATGAAGACAGCAAATTTTACATCAATATGATCTTCTACAACTCTAGAAACGGTGAGTTTAATAGTAAGGAAAATCTTCTAAACAGAAAATTAAATAAACATTTCCTGGTAGTTCTCTAGAATAGATTTTGGTGGTCGAATGTAGGGCTGAAAAATGCATGTGATTGTGTGGTTGTTTTTTAAGAGCTAATAATATTGGTGGATAAGGACAATGTTGAGGATTGCACTGTGATCATGCTTGCTAATGATGTTCCCTGGACAAGATAGAAAGATATCTCATTATCTTTTATTTGCTTCCATCGTCTTGTTCTCATATCTGCTGCTTGTCTTCTTTTCATATTGCTTTTCTGCTTCATTAGGTCATTTCTTTAAAATTCCATCTTATATCCATATAGACTGAAACTCCCAACATCTCATGATACTGACTGATGTGATTTATAGGGCAATGCATTTGTTGAATATCACATTAGATTTCACTTAACTTTCTTTCAGCAGCCTATTCATTCTGCACTGCATTGTGCAGTTTACATTCCAAACTATTTTAATACTTGTTGTTCATAATCTGCTTTTTCTTTCTTCCTGTTTACTCCATTTTGGTTTTTTTAAGTGCATTCTTTACCTTCTTACTGCAATGACTGTTATGTTGTGAATCCACATGAAAGAATTTTCTTTTCACAAAAGATTGTAAAGAATCATATTTATTTTAAAAGTTCCCCACTTATGAAAAAAAAGTTTAAAAAAAACAGGCTTGGGTGAGAAAGGTACAGAAATCATAGAGCTGGGTCAAACAAAAGAATCCATTTCCACCTATTTCCAAGGCTTTGTCAACTCATGTTGACAACATTAGGGGACAGAAATTATCTTAACCAGTAGACATTTATGACTGAAGGACTGCGGGGAAGGGGAGGGGGTACACAGGACTGAGGCATGGATTAAATTCTGAGTTAAAAGGGGCCATTTTGAAAGTTAAATCCAGGATACTATTCATGTAAGAAACCAACCTAAAATATCCAATCATGACACATGGTTGCCCAGCCTCCACTTGAATGCATCCTGTGAAGGGTATTTGTTTCTGCGGTTAAACTGTGTTTACTGTTAGATAAACTGTATTTACTGTTTACAGCTTACTATGTTTACTGTTTACAGTAAACTGTGTTTATTGTTGGATTATTGTCTTGTGCCTTTTTCAGCAAAATAAAAGGGTCTCGGTCAAACATCTTTAAAACTATAGCCAGCTGGGCCTGTTTTGGGCCTGTTGGTGAGGCCCATGAGCATAAGTAAGGACTCCAGAAAAAAAGGTGACCCAGCCAATTACAGAGTTCCTTCATATTTGTGAGAGAAGTTCCTCTGCCCAGCAGTGTAACTGATGCAAGGAATAATATATGTTAACTTAAAATTTGTAGCAAGAGACAAAGGGAAAAAAAATCAAGGAATGATCAGGTAGTGTACAAATACTGCAAAAATAAATGAATTCTCACACAACTTGAAGTGAAAAATCACAGATAAAAATTTATTAGCATCAATACCAAATGATAGCTATTGTTAATCGAAATAAGCATATTGCTACTATCTTTTAATTTACTTGGAAACAATGTTTACATTTGTATTTTTTACATTTTCAAAATTTACAAAGAAAAAAACAAAGTTCTTTTATCCAGCAAGTTACCCACGAGTAAAGATTATCTTTGGAGAGCTTTAATCTCTTGAAATTTCCAGCATTAAATCAAAAGAAGATTGAGATTAATCCTGTATACCAGCAAAAGTTTTGAAAATAGCCTTTATTTCTTCTACCCTTTAATCCCACAGATCACTCATAGCCATTCATACAAACTGGCTTGTATTTGCGGCTTTCTTCCTAGCTTTCTTCAGTTTTCAAACCTAAGATCTTTTCAACATACTTCCGAACATTAACATGGAGCTGTGAAGCAGTGGACCGAAATACTTCCATGGCCAATGCTTTAGCCGTTTTTGAGCCACTCATCATGGCCCGGTAGATGGGAAGGGTGTACTTCTGTTTTCCCTGGAATAAAAACAGAGTAACTTACTGATAAACTAATAGCACCCTGCAATTTTTAGGAAGGTAGCAATAATCTCCAAACCCTATTGTAAGTTATACTGATGAGCCACATTTCTTTTCCATATACAGAAGTGTTTAGTATACTGAAAGAGAGCAGGACAGTGATAACAAGGATTTTACATCTAAGAAATAGACAAGACTAGGACATTAATAATAATAAGACAGTGATCTGTTGCTGGATATAAACAGAAAAAAGATTCTGACAAAGCTACAGCAACTTTGTGTTTCTAGGAAATACAGCAACATCAAGCACCAACCTGGCTGTGAAGAAAGTCTTTCACTTGATCAAACCCTGCTTCATAATTATTTTTGAGCACAATTTGGGACCAACGAAGACGCAGCTCAGCATTCCGTGCTTTAGAGATCTTAGGATACAAGATGCTCATCTTCTCAACATGCCCTTAATATGAAAGGAAATCAAATTATTTTTTTCCTCAGGAGAGAAATGTCCATGGCGCTCTAGACAATGACATTCTTTAATTATTTTTAATATAGGAGCGGTGCCTTTTGCACCCGGCTCCTAGATCTCTTGACCGGGCCCCGGTAATCCTCTTGCGTTAAACTCTTAG